GCTGCCTCTTTCTTAGATCCTAAATGAGATAACAAGGGTGTTCCCGCTGTAGGAAACCAAGGACAAACATTCTAAATTGACTGTAAAAACTCGATGACTTGACTAGTAGAAACTTTTAAACCTTTTGCTTTAACCATATGCTTAATAAAATCTGTATAAAGAGCAGGTTCCTTTGAACCACACTGTCCCATTTCTGTTGGAACAGGGCACTCACTTCTCCAAAGTTCTTTGATTACCTGTCCTTCCCTAAACCAGGGGCTCTCCTGGCAGGTCTGCAGCACCCTTAGACAGGATCCTATCCCCTTCAGTCCCAATACATACCACCTTCAGGTCCCTGTTTGTGGTGCCACCCTGCTGGGGTCCAGCCTCATGGGGAAGAGACACTGATGCAAGGAAAACTGACCACCAAGTGGATCGCACTCAACTGGCCCCAAATAGCTTGGGCCATCTTTATTTATACTTAACAGAGTTTTTTGGTTTTTTTTTTTTTTTTTTTTTTTTTTTTTTTTTTTTTTTTTTTTTTTTTTTTTTTGGTTTTTCGAGACAGGGTTTCTCTGTGTAGCTTTGCGCCTTTCCTGGATCTCGTGCTGTAGACCAGGCTGGCCTCGAACTCACAGAGATCCACCTGCCTCTGCCTCCCGAGTGCTGGGATTAAAGGCGTGCGCCACCACCGCCCGGCTGGTTTTTTTTTTTTTAACCAGGGTTACACGAACAGCTTTATTATTGGCTTCTATTTTTGACTTTAAGAAATACATGACAATTTAAGGAATACATCATGATCATTATGAAAGTCCCCATTGTTCCCCTTTATGCTTCCCCAAATACACCTTCCCACCCCCTGCACAACCTTATTCTAGACACAGAGTTCAGCATTTTTGCAGCTTAACTGAATATCGAGCCAGACACATCCTGCTCTCTAAGCACTTATGTCAGCTGGCCGCCGCTTGCGGTTACAAAGTTAAAAAGTAATAGACGTGCGTATAGTGCTTTAAGGACAACGATATTCAAACCTAGACAATTCTTTCGTGTCTGTATGTTTTTAGACAATTCCCTTTTCCATAAGAGGGTCCCATGTCTCAATCTCTCTGTAAAAGACAGGCTTTGACAAAGCACCTTCCCCCATCTCACCATATCATACTTCTTCCACCAATATAAGCTCCTATGAATGATAAAGATGGATCTATCCATCCCGAATTTTACATTGGAGTTTTTCCTCTTGGAGCATACCAGATCCTACCAATGATTCTGTGGTTGGTGTCCAGAGAACTTACTCTCGACAGTTGGCAGTATGTGTATTCCTAAGGTCTTTTCTCTATTCTGTGCTTCCTCTCCTTTCCAGAACTGTGGGACATGGTTAATGTTCCAAATATTTTCTCTTATATATACCTAACTATCTCTATTGAGTCAGAAAAGTTCCCAAGATTGAGAGTTGTAGTTAGTAATTCCAGATAAGAGATTTGAAAAGCATTAGTCCCCTACTGAAACATGGGGGAAAATATTTGAAAAGGAACATAATTTCCAGGGAAAATTAAAGCTGTTGCATGTGTGACTGACAAAGTAAAACTAAAAACCACCCAAAGAATCACCAATATAATGAGAAAGAAAAGAGCCTGAAAACTAAATGAATTTTGTAAATTTCTATGCTATCTCATGGACTACTTACTGGTCCTTGCCAAGTGAGAATCTGTTTCCACAGGTGCCTTGCCCAGAGGAAACCCACTGAACAGGTAGTCATATGCTGATCAGAGACTAGGATGCACAGCTCTCAACAAATGGGGCCCTAGAATTTTCCAGTGTTCCATATGGCTCAGATGAGCCAGGCAGTCAAATACTGACTTCTCTCATGTTAACTCATTATTCAGCCTTTGTCTTTGGAACTTTGTGTCATTTCCACAGCAACCAGATCGATCCCATCTATCCTCACGATTTTCACATACTATATCCTATAAGAGTTTCTTTAATTTCCTATTTAAAGTCTATCCCAATTCAAGCAGTTTAGACAAAAATAGTCTCTGATTATCATAGTTTCCTGTACAGGGCGTCTGCATGCTGTATCATGGATTTCCCCCTTTTTACATTATCTTCTATCATGTCTCCCTCACTTTCTCCCTCTTCACTATCCAATTCTTCCCCTGGGTTACATGTCTTTGGATCCCAGGAGGGTATATTTACCATGGATCTAAGTTGTGTTCTCTTTCCCTTATATCTCCCAGAAAGAACCCATGAAGCCAACATGTCCACCTCATCTTCCTTTTCTTCTGTCAGTTTCAGAGGCTGCTGTGGAGGGTAGCATCTGCATGCCTTTTTCTCATTGAAATTATTCCTTACACAGGCAAGTTCTTTATGAGTGGATAGTTCAGCCTTGGTTGCATGTGTTATTTCCAAGGGCAAGGTCCACATAATTGATGCCACAGTCTACTTACAATCCCACCCAATAATGCTACTTTCAGGGATTTTAATAGATCCTCTAGTACACCAGTCATTTGAGAGGCATCCACATAATCACTCCTCATACTTACAGGGAGTCTTGACACTCCATTCCACATATAGGAAGACAGTAACTCTAGGATTTCCTCCAACAGATATTCCACTTTCAGATAATTTTGTCTTAGTTACATGTCTTCTCATTCATAGCAGGGATGGTGCCACTACTACTGCAGCAAAGATGCATGCATGCCATTCTATGCCACCTTAGGAAGGATGGCTGCATTAGAATTGCTCCATGGTTGTTCCACCCTCAGGAAACTTAGCTTCAGTTTCGTGCCTCATCACCCACAGCAGAGACAGTGAAAGTGCCCCTCCTAACTAAGCTTGGGTTCTGCCATGCCCCATGTTTGAGCACCAAGGGTTTTATAAACATTTTCTGGGAGACATGAACAAATGTTCACTCACCTATTGTGTAGCAGTTTCCCAAGAAATTGAAACATTTCATTCTGCAGGGAAGTTCATTTAATATAGGAAGTAAACAACTCAAAATAGCTTTAGGAAGTCCCTGAAACTGACTAAACTCACTAGGTCCCTCCCTTACTAAAAGTTTATAAGCAATAAAAATGGCTAAAAGTTACTCTCAAACAATCCCAGGCTCCTGGAACGTGCAGAGACTAGCTGAGCTGCTTGGAAGAGGCTCAGAACAAATGTGCCACCTGGAAAGGACACCTTCAGACTTGGTGAGATATCTGCAGTCTGTGCAGTATGCTCCAGGTTCCCAGATTTTGTGATCTGTCATCCATGCTAGGGTAGGTTTTGGTGATACATCTTTCTTTGTGTCATTTCTGCTTATGTCAGTAATTCATCCCTCATATTCTTGTAAGTAACCGCAGTAAAACTCATTGGTTCACCAAGTTGGACTTTGGTATTAGTATTTTAGTCTGTCCTCAGTTCTGTATTAGAGGTGAGAGGACATTTGTTCAGGTTTTCCCAGTAACAGTGTCACACAACATCATTCCAGATAGATCACCAATGACTGAAACAAAGATATGATCTCACCCAAGTGTAGAGTCATATCATTAAAATCCTTTTCTCCATTCACTTGCAGGCTATTTATGTATCATTCTGAAAATAAAAGCCTAGAATACAAGTTCTAGAACAAAACCTCTATTACATATTTTCTTGGCAGATAATTCAGGTCAAAGTTTAGAATGACACTTTCTCCACATTCTCATCTTCATTTTTTTGGAACTTGTCTAAGTACCATGTCTTAGGGTTTCTATTGTAATAAAACACCATGACCAAAAGTGACTTGGGGAGGAAAGGGTGTTGTATAATATAATTTTAAGATGTGTTACATGTGTTTATGCTGTGAAATATTTGTTTAATGATGCAAAAATGTGTTGCATTCTTTTATGTTGTATTCAACTCCGTGTTGCTTTGCCCATCTAAAACACCTAATTGGTCTAATAAAGAGCTGAACAGCCAATAGCCAGGCAGGAGAAAGGATTGGCAGGGCTGGCATACAGAGAGAATAAATAGGAGGAGAAATCTGGGAAGAGATCAAGGAGCAAGAAAAGAAGGGGCCAGACACCCAGCCACATAGCCAGACATAGAATAAAAGGAAAGAAAAGATATGTAGAATCAGAGGAAGGTAAAAGTCCAGAGGCAAAAGATAGATGGGATAATTTGAGTTAGAAAAGCTGGCTAGAAACAAGCCAAGCTAAGGCAGGGCATTCATAAGAAAGAATAAGCTTCTGCCTGTATTTATTTGGGAGCTGATGGCACCCCCCAAAAGAGTCAAAGAGTAAAAAACAACCAACAACAAAAGGATTTATTTCAGCGTATGTCTGGTAGTCCAGCATGAAGGGAAATCAGGAAAAGAACTCAAGGTAGGAACCTGGAAGCAGGAACTGAAGCAGAGGCCATGGCTGAGACTCTGCTTACTGTCTTACTCAGTCTACTTTTTGCATAGTACCTAGGGCCACCAGCGCAGGGGTTGCAATGCCCCCAGTGAGCTGGGCCCTCCCACACCAAGCATTAATCAAGAAAATATCCTACAAACTTGCCTACAGGCAACCTGATGGATGTATTTTCTCAATTACAGTTCTTTTCTCTGGATCACACTAGCTTGTGTCAAGTTGATTTAAAAATCAACAAGGACACATCTCAAGAGTCTGAAGTCACAGACAAAGCAGCCATTATCCTGTTTGAGATGTGGTGACTGAGAAGGACCATTGGCCTTGTGCTTGGTCCTGTTTTTCTTTGGCTTAGTATCTGAAGTTCTGAAAGAAAGAATAAGAGTTGAGAACTTAAGAACAAAAGACTGTTACCACAAAAAAAAAAAAAAAACAAAGGAAATGGTGTATCAACTGCTCTGTAAGGCCATCCTGGCACAAGAGAGGAATCAACTTCAAGCCTAAGAGGACACAGGACACAGGATTCACATAGCATGTGCCAGCCCTGGAATTCCATGGAGTGACTCACTTGCAATTCCACCACAGCATCAGGATATTTGAATCACATTAAGTATAAAGACTTCCAGTCAACAGAGTCACTAGCCTGACAGATCTTTAACAGTGGCAATGGGAAAAGCACCTCTTCTTACATCGCTTAAGAGCATCTTTGATGTCCTTGTTCCTGAGACTGTAAATCAGAGGGTTCAACATGGGAATCAGCACTGTATAGAAGATTGATGCCATCTTGTCATAGCCCTGAGAACTGTCAGAGCTGGGGCGCATATAGACAAAGAGTCCTGATCCAAAAAAGAGAGTGACTGCTGTCAGGTGAGAGGCACAGGTATTGAAAGCCTTGGCCCTGCCATCTGCTGAGCTGATCTTCAGGATTGTGGCAACAATATAAGTGTAGGATATCAGGATGACCAAGACGGATGCCACCCCAAAAATCACTGCTATTACAAACTTCAGAACTTGCAGGGGGAAAGTTTCAGAGCAAGAGAGGACTAATAACTGAGGGAGGTCACAAAAGAAGTGGTTGATAACATTTGGCCCACAGAAATGCAGCTGAAGTATAGCACACAGTTGTATCAGTGAACCAAAGAGACCAGTGATATAGGCTCCCGCCACCATCTGCACACAGAGGGAAGGGGACATGACGGCTGTGTAGAGCAGAGGATTACAAATGGCAGCATACCGGTCATAAGCCATGGCTGCCAGAAGACAGCACTCAGCCAGACCCAGGCTTGAGAAGAAGAAGTATTGCATGGTGCACCCCAAAAAGGAGATGGATTTAGGCTTCTGGAAGAATCCTGAGAGCATTTTAGGGGTTGTAGAGGAAATGTACCAGAAATCTAAAAATGACAAGTTGCTGAGGAAGAAGTACATAGGTGTATGTAGGTAAGGGTCAATCCTAATCAAGATGATGAGGCCCAGGTTCCACACTACTGTGGAGAGATAAATTCCCAAGAAGACAACAAAGAGAACCAGCTTGAGCTTGGGAAAGTCTGAGAATCCCACAAGAATGAACTTGGTGATGGTTGTACTATTCCTCTCTCCGGTCATCGTCTTGGAGCACCTTAAACCAGATAGATAGGTTTAAATCTTAAACCTGTAGACAGATACTTGAATTAAAAAAGATTGTTTAACATTATGGATCTTCCTTGTTTTGAGTACAGTACTGGATGAAAAATAATCCACAAACTAACTTTAACAAAATCAAGAAAAAAGTATTATTCCAAAAATTACTAGAAAACCTCCCTACCACTTCACTGTTTGAATTACATTCTTACAATTCTTCCTACACATACAACAGATGATGCCAAATTCTTGTCCAAATGTTGATACTTATTTACACTAGTATAAAGATTTCATGACAGTATTTCTTGTTATTTTCTTATCAACATTGCATATAATTATTTAGATTCAGTCTTTGACAATCTTACCAGTGAAATTTATTTTATTATTCTAAATTTGTATTTACTGTCCCCCTTTTTCTACTAGATTTGTGTATGAGGCTTTCCATCAAATAAATAGTTTTATTTCACCATTCCCCAATCTGGACAATTATTTTCCAAGTTTATCACCTATGTGATAGCATTGTCAATATGAAGTGCATTCAGTCATTTAATATATCCATTAATTTTATTTTTATCTATTCAACTCCATGTGATAATTATGGTCCTTGCTTTGGTGTTACACTGAAAAATATTTATTTATATAATTTGATAAGATCCTTATGTGTATTTTCTTTTAGTTTTTATATTTTTGTTAATTTTTGAAAAAATAATACATTGTATGAAGTATAAATCTGGGGTTATTTTTCTAAATTTATTGACACTCCTCCCACTACAATAAATTAAATGATTTGCCTATCAATTAAAATCACCTTTATAATAGGATCAATTACAAACTTCCCATTTTTTTCAATTTTTAATCTTAATTCACATGCCACCTGTTCAGTTCCATGCCATTTTATAATTAGTTATGATCATATTTTATTAGTAAGACATAGAGCATTGTAATAACTGGCAAACATGCCTTCATTTTCCAGAGATCACTTTGATGGTTCTCATGTTCATGCCTTTCAAAGATCTGTATAATGACTCCATCAAAGGGAATAAAATTAGGATTCACACTCCATTTCACTTTTCATTAGTCTAAGGATAAATAATATATAAGTTGATAAATGAAGGTTTATAAGAGGTAATACTAACTCTTAATAATTCATTACTGCTACACTTGATGGGAGGAACTAGGTCTAGAGACACCAGCTCTGGATTCCAAGGTCTGTCTCTGGGTCATTCCAACACCTCTGGGACTTTGGTTTCTCTGTTTCAAAATGAAATCATTGTAGCTCTTCTCTTTGCATCAAAGGGATGTTTCCTGTATAAAAACAGTAACTGTGGTGAGAAATCGCACAGCAAGAACTGTGGTCTGATAGTCTACAGCAATAGTAACATGATTTCAGCAACCAAAGAAGAGGATAAATTAACAGCCTACAAAAAGGAAATTACATTGAGCCATGCCATTCATCACTGTACATAAGAAGGACACATCAAGGTCCAGGCTACCTTCCACTGTGAAACTGACTTATGGGCTGCCTATCTTTAAAACACATTCAGTAAAGACAGAACTAGTTTAAGTGAATTGTTAAAGAACTTTGACTTCAGGAAATTAGGTAACGCATTGAAAATACTAATTACTGTGGTGCTTCTGTGGTTTATTTTCTCAAGTCTATTCTCCAGACACATATGTCATGGAGACCCTGACAGTTGAATATTACGCTTAAAGCATTAAGAAACGCATTCAGTGAAGATTTTTTATCTTCCATATGTTTAAGTGAACAGATCTTTTAAATGAAAACATCAAAAACACGATTTTTAATCTTTCAAATGAATGTCATCTCTCTTCTGGTTCACTGATGGGAAGAGAAGATGAAAAGGTATTCAGATGACAATGCTGGCGACGATACTCCTTCCACAGTGGAGAAAGACAGAAAGGGCGCTCCCACATTAGTTCCTGCAGTTACGTTTACTTCATTTCCTGGTGTCCACTCAAGATGAAATTTACATTCTGGAATGCCATAGTAAATGTGGCTCCTTCACGCTACTGTAAGTCAGTGAAACGGATCAGCTGACCCAATAGCCTGATGGCAACTTAATCACATGTAGTATCACAGAAATGATGTCAACTGAGGTATAAACAGAGCATATTAAGGTCAGATTTGGGGAACTGGAGAAGGCTCAGCAGTGAAGAGGGCTTGGTGCTCTTCTAGTGGATCCAAGTTTGGTTCCTAACCCACAGCAGGTGGCTCCCAACTGCCTATAACTCCAGCTCCAAGAGATATGACATCTTCTTCTGGCTTGTCTGCATGAGCATGCTCATATCCTCACAGACACACACACACACACACACACACACACACACACACACACACACACACACACACACAAATAAATAAATAAATAATAATAAATCTTTTTAAAAGGATCAAATTGTTGATTTTATTGTTCTAAGTTTTCTTTTACTGTGGAAATTCATTGCAGACACAATGTTTTCAGACTACCATAAAAATAAAAAATTATGTAAAGTAATTTTTAGGAGTTTGAAAAAAGGCACACAGCCAGTTACTCAATACAGAAACACTCATTCCTATTCTTCTGAAAAAGTAAAAGTCAACAGTAATAAATTATTCATAAGATTAGAGCCCAAGGGATCAGACCCAGGGACCAAGATATTTAAAAGTGAAGGGACAAAGAACCAGTCCTTTATTTTCATTTGTGATCTTTCTCTCATACTATAATAAGATGTCATAATCTTCTAAATAAAATTTCATATCGTGTGAGCTAAATGGTTTATTTTGTTTCTTTAATACTGAAACCCAAATTAAATCTTGATGTAGGAGTCACAGAAAATGTTTTCCTGTTGTGGAAATAATATGGTGTTTGTTGAAATCTAACATCTGCAAGGTACCAATAAGACTATCATTTGGGAAACAGCAGAAGGAAGATTAAATAAGTTCTTCAAATCGCTCCAGGAACAATCCATCACTATTTTTTAATATGTTTTCGGAAAGGAAGACAAAAGAAATAGGCAATTTAATATGAAAAAGGAAAGACACAATTTGTGAACTAGAACTTATTTTCTCACCCACTTTGGAAGACTTTTCTATTATAAATTCCGAGTTCCTTCTAAACCCATTGTACGTGGGTCATTTTCTAATGCACTGAAAATCTCACTGCTAGTATTTAAAATTTATAAGTTTTTTTATTATACCATAGGCTATTGATATAATTTCAGGTAAGAAGAATTTTTTAAAAATACATCAACTAGTATAGCAACTAATACATCTGTCCTATACCACTGTGTCAAAATGACTCAAATGTATTTGCTTAAAACATCAATGAGAGGCGGATCAGTTGGCTCAGGCAGTATAAGCACCTGCAGCCGACCCTTGTGACCTGAATTCAATCCCAGAACCCACATTGTGGAAAGAGCTACTCCTGCAAGTTGTCCTGTAATCTTCACACATGCCCTGAGGCACATGAACACATGCATACGTGCGCGCACACAAAAAATTAATAAGTGAGGAGTCGTAATTTCTCAAGGTCCTTCTGGATGGATAGTTCACAGGTTAGCTGCATTGAGATCTTTTCATGGCCATAGTCTACTGAGATGACTACGCTGTCTTTCAGTTGGAACCGGGGCACTAATATAATTCCACTGAAATGTTTTGGCACTCATACAGGATGACTGGGATAGCTGAGATTTCTCTCCACATAGCCTTTCCATCTAGATTCTTCTAGGAATAAGCTAAGACTTCCAAAGAGCAAGACTCAGTATCATGTGCTCATTAAGCTATTGGCTGTATAATATTTTCTGATGTTTCATTGGCCAAATCAATTCAAATGGATGAGAAAAGAATCAGTAAGCAAGGGGGCCCTCCAAGGACATGTCAGGAAATGTGACTCACTGATGTCCACTAATGCATTACTGTAGCACATAAGGGTCTAACGTCAATTCAGTGAGCACTGGGCCAATTTGAGAGACTGTATCAAAAATCAAGGTGGATAGTACCCAAGGAATGACAGTCAAAGATGTCCTGGGGCCTCCACACATAGGTACACCTGAATACACACACACACACACACACACACACACACACACACACACACACACACACATTTTAAAATATTTAATGTGAAGCCATTTAGAAAAACATTCAAGAAGATTAGTCTGTTTGGGGAGAACAAATCAGGAAAATTATAAATTTGGCACCTAATTTGTACTAATTTTAATTGGCAAGCCATTTCATTTTTTTAGTTAGGCTTTATAATATGTTTTGGAGAGCCATGATACATGTTGTAATGCATTTGTACACATATATGCCATTGTGTATTGCTGAGCTGTGCATAAATTCTGCAAAGTGTGCCATTTAGCAGTTTCATCACCCTGTGAATGTTGCAGTCTATTTATACAGACCTCAGTGGCATGGGTTACTACATAGCTAGACTCTATGCCATGTGAATTAAACAGCACAAGATTAAGTCAAGCACTAGAGAGGACAATGGAGTGTTGGTAAATTCAAGATGTATGAAGCTGCTGCTTGGTTGATGCATACTGTTTGCAGCAAACTGTTCTCTGTAAGTACAAGAGTATGTGCTAAAACAACAAGACATGGCATAGCACAATCGGTACATAATGCAGCAGTATAACTGTTTATTATTATGTAGTTTATACTCCACACATTGGCATTGACTACACTGCTGGGTCAATGGGTTGTTTACCACAGCATCACCACAGACAAGTGCAATATAATATGTCCCCCTATAGTGTTCCAATGGCTTGTGGCACTAAGCCATAGGAATTGTTAAATTCCATTATAATATTTTGGGACCACGCTTGTACACTCAGTTAGTCATTTGCTGACCATCCTTGTGGGTGCCTAACTGTATGTATGTTCCTGTAAATTTATGTAGTGTTCTATACACAACCATTTAAGTGTAAGTCTCTTTCTTGATTTTTTTTACAACTCAACTTTTTTTTCAACTTAACTCAACGTT